TTACAGCCCATGGCACTGTAGCTAACCTCCCTGGACGTGGATGGAAGAGCAAAATTACTAAAAAAATTACAACAAATGGTTGTTTGAATGGTGGATACAGAACCCAGATTAACTTCCCAACAAATTCAAGCTGATCTGCAGATACAGGGTACAACAGTGTCAGCTCGCACTATCCATCGCCATCTGAATGAAAAGGGACGCTATGGAAGGAGACCCAGGAGAACACTGCTGACACAAAGGCATAAAAAAGCAAGACTCGAGTATGCCAAAACCTATGTGACAAAACCACAATTCTTCTGGGAGAACGTACTGTGGACAGATGAAAAAAAAAGTAGAGCTTTTTAGTCAAGGACATCATGGCACTGTTTACAGAAAAAAAATTAGGCATTCAATGAAAAGTACACAGTCCCTACAGTTAAACATGGTGGAGGTTCGAAGATGTTTTAGGGTTGCTTTGCTGCTTTTGACACTGGATGCCTTGACTGTGTGAATGGTATCATGAAATCTAATGATTACCAAAGAATTTTGGGGCACAACGTAGTGGCCAGTGTCAGAAAGCTGTGTCTCCACCAGAGGTCATGGGTCTTCCACCAGGACAATGACCCAAAACACACTTCAGAAAGCACTCAGAAATGGTTGCAGACGAAGTTCTGGAAATTCTGAAATGGCCAGCAATGAGTCCAGATCTGAATCCCATAGAACACCTGTGGAGAGATGAAGGCCCTGGGGCAGTGTGCAAAAAGAAGAGTGGTCCAAAATTCTAGTAGAGAGGTGTAAGAAACTCATTCATGGTTACAGGAAGTGGTTGATTTTAGTTATTTTTCCAAATGGGGTGCTACCAAATATTAAGTTAAGGGTGCCAGTAACTTTGGCCAGTGCATTTTTGGGTTCCTGTGTGGAATTGTATCAGATATGACTTTTCTTCTCTGTTAACATGAAATTAACATGTGAGTACCAAAACATTTGCAACTGCAACAATTTTCTAAGAGGAGGATTTCATTTTCTGACAGAATTGCCAGGGTGCCAATATTTTTGGCCATGACGGTATACTTTAATGTAGATTCCTAGATTGAGTAGAGGTTGAACTCAATAGGACTATAGGTCCCTTTCCACTCCATTATTCTATGCTTATTTATAGTGGAAGTTCATCACATTTCCCTCCTATTTGTTGGTGGAAGGACGGCCATGCTTCAGGATAGAGTAGATGGGAGATGCTGCTGCTTACCACAGATACCAACATTGCTAGTTACAGGTCTGGCTTCAGGCTACCCATGACGTTTCATGGCTTAGTAAGAACTTGAGCTTGGATCTCCCAAGTCCCAGTACAACACTACAGTGACACTAGCTTTCTAATACATGTTGCCTTATTATATGCAATAATCATTCATGACTGGAATCCTGTCGTAATCATATAGGGATTGAATACCTTGCTGTGACTATTTGTGGTTAATTGGCAAGGTGCTGGGGCATATGACCAAGCATATGGCAAATAGGGGCCTGACACTGTTGTACCCATAATTTACAACTCAAAGGTGGAGTTGGTTGGTTGTTCGGTTGGTTTGCTTGCTTGCTTGTTTATTTATTGCATTTATATACCACCCCATAAGTGCATAGCGCTATTCTGGGTGATGTACATTTAAGAGACAATGAAATGGCACAGTCAAGCTCAGTATAAAACCAGACAACAACAAACTAAAATAAACCAGGTGTTAAGCCCAGAGGGTGCAGCAAATCTGAGCAGCAATACAGGGGCTAATAAACTCAAAAGAGGCTGTCACCAAAGGCATCTCAAATCTCAAAAGAGATGAGCCTTCAATAGCCTCTTGAAAATAAGGAAGCTTCCTAAGGTGTACCAATCTGATTATTTATTTCTTCCATCATAAATGTAGACCATTATGGACACCACCAATTTTGCCCACATAGATTGCCTTATATGCTAAGGAGAACTTCCACATTTTTCTGTGGTTGGCACTTCCTGGGGTTGGTTCTCATTTGCCAGTACCTAGTCCTGATCTGTTCACGTGGTTAGAGAATCCAGCAGGGATACACATAGAATGTAATACACAGCCCAAATGTGCTAGCAGTAATATAGTTTGCTGTTGAAAAGTGGTACTATGGCATTTTATTTGCTGATGTGCTTTTAAGAATACTGTATTAGCCTTGGTAATTAGCAAGATCATTCAGTTTTCAAATTGTAATTATATAAATGGGGCTACAGTACTTCAAACATAGCTGCTAAATGCAGTCACACATTAATCCAGAAGGATAAGCAGCAAATCAGATTTCATGGAAGTGAATTTTATAAAGTTGCATCAGTTTTATAATTAATTGTCTTACCCTTTCATGCTTTGGCCTTCTTACAAACAGAAATTCTTATCTCTGTTAGCCTCTGTTTGCATACTGTTTTGGGTGAAATGAAAGATGGATTTTTGTTTATACATTTGGATTTCCATATAATCTTGATACAGCTCCAATACAATGGACTTGAGTACACATCCAGCCATGTAGAGTC